ATGTGCCACCATGCCCAGCTAATTTTTGTATTTTTAGTAGAGATGGGGTTTCACCATGTTGGCCAGGCTGGTCTCGAACTCCTGACCTTGTGATCCACCTGCCTCAGCCTCCCAAAGTGCTGGGATTACAGGCGTGAGCCACAGCACCCAGCCATCATTATTATTTCTTACAAGACTAAGTTTGTATATCAAGTTGAATACTTTCATAGAGGTCAAATGATTTGACAATTTATCTCTACACTATTCTTATTCACCATCACACTTAAATTAGCCTCTTTAGAAGCAAATTTTGCTACATAGGCATAAAGAGTATTTGAGTAGCTGGTCAATCTGAGTACTCCTAGGCACAAACTGGAACAATAGAAATTAATGTGAATTCTGGCAAAGAAAAGAAATAAATGTTCCTTTCTATGTATTTTTTCTTGGTTGATGATGATGTAAGGATTGAGGTGTTGTTAGCCACCTCTGACACTAGGTGGAGCTAGCATCCTTCTGAAGGAAGCCAACATAGAGAAAAGCAGGGCCAAAAAATTCAGATTCAGAGATGCAGAGCCAGATGACATCATATGAACGCCTATGTCTGAAGTGAAACTTACTACATTTTTTTGACTTCCAAATTACATGAGCCAAATTTGTTGAAGTTTTTTGTTTCTTTGTGTTTTATTCTACATTGGATAATTTCAATTGAATTTCTGTCACTTGCAAAATAAGAACCCTAACTAATCCAACCAGACTGTGTGGAAATGGCTGTCAGGATAATATTGATGAGGATGAAATCACATTGTCCTACACAGAGTTTAGTGCTCTGTAAGCTATCCTGAGATACCCACCACCATAGTAAAGTGCTCCAAATCCTGTGATGTAGACAGTCAAATTTGGTTGGAAGTATGCAGAGGCTTCTGGCAAACAAATCCGGCGTATGTCATCCGAAAAGGTGACTCTGGAAGAGATCTGCACAACAGCAATGTCATACTCTCTTGCTGTGGAGTGATACTTCTCATGGATTATAAATCTTTTGACATTTCTTTTTATTAAGGGAGAGTTAATTTTTGTTCCAAAACTAACAGTCCATTGATATGGATTTTTATACCTGGAAAAGGTTAGAAATGAACAGAATATATATAAGCTGCCCAAAGTATATGAACTACATTAATTGCATTTAGGCTAATGTAAGACAAATATGATCCTGAGAATACTTGGCTGAAGCTATAGTTTTCTTTGATCATTTACACATAGTCTATTGCTAATATATTGAAAGATAAAATATATATATAAACAGCATATTAGAACTGGCATTTAATTTAAAACTATTAAATTTTAGAACTGTAATGCATACAAAATATTATTCATTTATCACTTCAACAAATATTTACTGAGAAACTATGTGCTGAGCCTTATCTGAACTGCTGAGGATAAAGTGATGAACAAGACATAAGGTGCCTGCTCACAGGAGTATAAGACTCCAGAGAAGGAAAAGGATCAAAGCAACAAACAAGTAGGTAAATAACTTTAAATAGTGATAAAGGCTACGGACAAAATAAAATAGGGTAACAGGAGAGGGTACTAACGGGTCATTATGACTATCTTAAGAATGTATTTGGACTAAGATGTAGTAAAGGAGGATCAGTGTAAGGACATGAGGCAAACAAGTTTCCAGGCAAAAATCCCAAGGTTTTGGGCCAGATGGACTGCAGGGAAAGAATGGTTAGGGGTGAGCTTGGGGAGGTAAACAGGGACTAGATTTTGGAATGCTTTATGGTAATGGTAAAGTGCTTAAATTTTATTCAAGTGATACAGGAATCCACTGGATAATTAAGACAGAAGGTGGTGTAGTCTTATTTACATTTTTAAAAATCATGTTGGTTATTTCTGGTGAGTGGATTATTGAAGGTCAAGAATGGATGTGGTAAAGACTGTCAGATGACTACATAGTCCGTTGAGAGATGATCAAATGTGGTTGACTTCTAGCTTGTGGGATTGGACAATGGGGGGATTGGGGTACATGCAGAAATCAGAAAAATCATTTAGTAGCAATGAAAGATGATCTAGTGAAGACAGTGTTTTCACTTAAGGAAAATAAAGTCTCGATAGGTTAAACTATTTGATTCACATCATATGTCTGCCTGCCTCTCTCTCTGCTTTTCCTTTATAGAACCCTGTCTCCGACCAATTTACATTATTCGTATTTTCAGAAGTCTTCTTGCTTTACTTTGTCATGTCTGACACTAGTCACACATCTGTCTTGGTATATTTAGTTATTGGAAGCATATTTTAAGTGAGACACTGACAAAGTCTAGAATGTTGAGAGAAGAAGAAACAATATGCAATATGGTAGGGCATCTGGAAGTTGGTGCTGTGAAATGGAGTTATATATATTGCACATATTATTTCATCACTCAGGTATTAAGCCTAGTACCCATTAATTATTTTTTTCTGATCCTCTCCTTCTAGCATTTTTCACAATAACAAAGACATGGAATCAACCTAAATGTCCATCAGTGATAGACTGGATAAAGAAAATGTGGTATATTACACCATGGAATACTATGCAGCCAAAAAAAAAAAAAAGAACAAGATCATGTCCTTTGCAGGAACACGAATAGAGCTAGAGGTCATTATCCTTAGCAAACTAAGGCACACAGTAATGATATTTATTTTCACTTATGGTTTGAAGATTCTCTCTCCTTTCATGTTTGGTTTGAAAAAGGAAACTAAACAATAACTGTTATATGAGTGAAGAAATGAACTTGGTTGCTGTTGTTCCAGATTAAAAAAACAAATATTAATGGTGGATGTTAATAGAGTGCAGATTCAGTGTTCAATGCTGTGAAGATATTTGCAAAAATAAAACTATCCACCACAAAAATGGCTAACTTTGGCAAAGTAAGTTCTCCATTACTTTGAAAACCCAGACACCAGCATAGGGGATTTCTGGCTTTCTAATATATCTTATTGAGCTCTCACATCTTTCAAACACTAACAATTTATGTACACTCTTTTTTAAAAAATATATTATTTTTTAGAGATTGGGCCTTGCATTGTCACCCAGGCTGGAGTATAGTGCTGCAATTATAGTCTGCTGTAGCCTCAAACTCCTGGGCTTAAGGAATTCTCCTGCCTGAGCCTCTGAAGTAGCTGGGATGACAGGCATGCACCACCATGTGGAATGGGGTTTCACTATCTTGCCCTGGCTGGTCTTGAACTCTTGGGCTCAAGTGGTCCTCTTGCCTTGGCCTCCAAAAATGCTGGGATTACAGGCATGAGCCACCATGCCCGGCCTAGATTCTTAATATGTATATTCTTTAGAATATTAAGAGTCTCTATAAAGATTTATGCTGTTAGGCAGATGAAGTTTATTATGGTAACCAAAGTTAGAATTTTATAGGCCAAAAAGAATGTGAGAAGATCTAGTCTATTTCCTAATACACTAAGGTTTAATTACTTGCCCATGGTCACAGACATTTGATCCAGCTCTCCACCTGCCTGGGACGTACTTTTCCCACTAAATCCTCCTGCCACCTATTATACAGAAATACTCAAGAAGCCTTTGTTATCACCATAATAATTTGTAATGAAGAAGAAAGGTGATAGAGTTAATCTACTTAGAAAAAATTCTAAAATTTTAAATGTAATAAAAATAACTGGTTATATTGAAAAGTAAAATTAAAAGTTATTTAAAAAGTCATTTTATCATGTATTTAATAAAATGTATGCATTTGAAAGCAATTTATGAGAGCACAATTTGCTATTCTTCACTTCAGCTTTTGTCTTATTATACGAAGGCCATATTGAGCAGCCCAAGGGCCTCTCTGAATCCTTTGATACTCACAGGAATCTCTTTTGGAGTGCCTGTCTTTATCATGCCAGCAATTTCTCATTCCGGTAGTGAACTGTTCTAATCCCACAGATCTTCAGATGTCAATGCTTTAAATTTGATCTGTGGTTCTCCATCATCACGTTACCAATTTCCTGTACTTACTGAAAATTTCCATTTTACTTTGGAATTAGTTTGATTATTTATGATCAGCATGAGACTGGCCCAAGTTTGGCAGAAACAGACATTAGTATTAAGTGGAAAGTATTGTTTGACAAAAGATTAATGTTACAAGTTATCAGTGAATATTTTGTGTTAGGTTATCACAAAATAGTTCTGATTCCTTAGTTTCCTTATTAACAACTTTGGGGAACTGATAGAGGAATACTAGAATAATGACTGTTACTTCCTTTATTCCCATCAAACTTTCCGATGAAGTATGCAAGTGTAACATTATTTTAGAAAAGATCCTGAAATAGCTTTTTCTTATTTTACTTCAGTAATATTTGGGACATTAATTGTTATCAAGAATGTGACAAAACTCAGGGCTTTTTAGCAGAAGTGAGTTCTAACTTAAGGTCAATTACTTACTTCTGGAAGCAGTGTGCTGCAGTGACAAGCCATGTATTACTAATCAAGGTGGCCCCACACTGATGGATGTTATCATACTGAAGAGAAGCTTGCCAAGGCCAGGCTGCCTTGGGTGCAACATCTCCAGATGCTATTCTGTTGACTTTTAATGGAACAACTCGTTTACCACAACCTGAAAAAGATGAGATCATTAAGTTATAAGAAACATCTTGTAATTACAAGAAATGACCCCATTCTCCCTTGCCTGAAGACATTTTTGTATATTACTCTTCCTGCCAACAACACTCACCCCACCTGTCACTGGTTTCATGGCATCTTCTCTCTCTCATTTCAGGGTTCACTTTCTTACACCATGAGACCAGGTTAGCTAACTCTTCAATTGACTCTCATAGCACTGTGCACTTCCTATGTCTAGCATTTATCACACTGTTTTGATACTTCCCAATTAGTTTATGTCTTTCTCTATTTTGGAACTCTAATTTTAGGGCGGGGATCATGTTTTATCATAGTAGTATCACTAACTCCTAATCTAATTTCTGGCACTTTTTGGATGTTAAAAGATATTTTTTGAATGAATACATATATGAATAATAACACTTAAGGTGTTTGCAAGACACAGAGGCAAATGCATGAACATCACTGCTCAAATTCGTCACCACTTTTGTAAAATCTTTTGAAACATAGGCTGCAGTGACTTGAAGTGATTTATATTCATAGCCACTGTTAGCTATGAAGATAAATATATTAAGCATCTTTTTTATTTTTTTTATTTTGAGACAGAGTCTCGCTGTGTCGCTCAGGAGGCAATATGGTGGTGTGATCTAGGCTCACTGCAACCTCTGCCTCCTGGGTTCAGGTGATTTTCCTGCCTCAGCCTCCTGAGCAGCTGGGATTACAGGTGCCTGGGTAATTTTTGTATTTTTAGTAGAGATGAGGTTTCACCATGTTGGTCAGGCTGGTCTTGAACTCTTGACCTCAGCATATTTCATAGATAATTTATCAATCACAAACAATGGGTTTTATCTCCTCCCCATGAATTACTTTCTCATTATTTTATTTTGTAGCAGAAAGTACATTTTATGGCATTTTAAAAAATTAGAAAAGTCCAGTATTCTCAATCAGAAATATATACTTTCTTCAAATTGCCCCAGAAGGTTATTACGGAAATTTTTTTCTTGAACATGACTAAAACATTAGTCCTAGAGTCAGAAAAAAATATAAATCCATGGTACAAACAGTTATTACAACTCAAAGAAAATTTGGAGCACAGATGGGCAAGTATGAGCATATATTTGAAGATTTCCTTTCTGATGTGGAAATTGAACTTGTTTATATCAGCTAACTCAACTTACTTGCTTGGACAGTTGACTCCCCTGCTGATGAGCTCATTGCTGAAAAACAAAACAAAACAAAGAATGATAATTTAATACTTTCCTGGTTGGTCTCAATGATCAGGAATAATCAGAGGATACTGACCATATATGGATTCTAGAAAGTTGAACACATAGATCAATTAGGAGAATGGCTTTCTGATATACCAACATCTGTGTATCATTTTTCGTAGAGACTTATAGGCAACCTCAAATTAGGTGTATACTATTGCAAGCAACAGGTGAGTAAGGCACAAATAGTGGATGATTTAAGCCTACAAATAGTTTGTATTAATAGAGAACTATGGTTTTCCAGCAGTTCAGGGTAAAGCTTCTTTGCATTTCACTTCAGAAGATGGATAAATGGAACAGAGGAAACAAGTTGTATTTGTTTTCAAACAAACTGATAAATACATACCTGATAAAGACATACCTGAGACCAGGTAATTTATAAAGAAAAAGAAATTTAATGGACTCAGAGTTCCACAGGGCTGGGAGACCTCACAATCATGGAGAAAGGCAAAGGCACATCTTACATGGTGGCAGGCAAGAAAGAGAATGAGAGCAAAGTGAAAGGGGAAGCCTCTTAATAAACCATCAGATCCCATAAGACTTATTCACTACCAGAGAACAGTATGGGGGAAAACACACCCATGATTCAATTATCTCCCACCAGGTCCCTCCCACAACATGTGGGAATTATGGGAACTACAATTCGAGATGAGATTTGGGTGGGGACACAGCCAAATTATATCAAAAGTAAATTGTTTTACAGGTCTCAAACAGCCTCAGCCAGAACAGATCTGCTTTGATCTCTTTTATTTACTTTGAACTTCACATAAACCTTTTTTTGGTTAAAGGGTTTAGGATGAAAAACTTTGAAAACTCTCACATAAATGATATTTTAAATGCTTTCTAAACACAGTTCCTAAATAATAAAAATTGCTTTTTTAAAGAATAAACTATTACGTATTCTTATCCAAAATCTACTGATATTGGTAAAAGCTAGTTATTGGACATAATCCAAGATTAAATTCTGTCAACTTCCAAAAAAGTGAGGAATTTGACTAGGGAAACAAATATTTAAAATCATATACATATTTTTTATTTTTATTTGTCAGTTATATCTTACTAAAGCTGGGAAAAATAAAGTTGGTGGAAGGTTTCATGAAAATTGTGATGATTTTCAAGTTAAAATGACTTAGCTTACTGAGCAGATAATTAACTGTTTTACTTTTTCCTACCAGTGCCATGTTTCTCAGACACATTCTCAGCATTGTATTCTCCATTATACAAAATGAGAATGTTTCATTCTACTAACTTTCTATAAATTCCACTGGAGAAACTAGTGTTGATGAAGTCTACAAAGTGGGAGTTTTTGAAAATATTCAATTCAAGAATACCATTAAAGGCATCCCAACTCATTGTATGGTAAAGAATCAATTGCTCAGGACTATCAGTTGCTCTTAGTGCTTACTCTTTGGAAGGAACTCAGTTTTTGTCAAATGTAGTTTAAGGCAGTAAATTTATTTCATTTTTAATAAAACTATATATTTTGTCCTTACTAATGCAATCAGGTGGAAAATAGCACAATGTTAGAACTCTTAAGTTAAAACTTTGTCAGCTTTGTCTGAGCAGCATGCAAGTTATCCATTTCCAGGAATGATATTAGGATCATCACAATTTTCATGAAACTTTCCACCAACTTTATAACACAATTTTTAGGGAGAATGATTATGCCTGGAAACAAACTGTCAATACACAAGTAACTGGTTGTTAAAGATTTCTAATTCTGACCAAAGATTTTTACCTTCCAGGTATAAACATGGAAATAAACACTAACACTTTAGTTTTGAAAGCGACCATCTCCTATCAACGTTCTGAGTTGGGGAAAAGCTAGTTAACATTCAGGGCTCTATAGACTACGAGCATCAAGACAAAAAATGAAACAAAGTCATTTGGCATGTAGGTATTGAGCTGCATTACTACAGCCCTGGCGTTTGCAATCCAAAGAAACTGATTTTAGCTTTGCTTTGTCACACTGTGTCTCCTGAAGGGCCCACACCACACAGTTATTTGTCAAAACAAAATACACATATTTGACAAATTACAAATAAATCTTGGGCTACAGAGTTATTTCTAGACTTGATCTTGAATCTCTAGAGTTTTCTATTTATTGGAAGTCCCTAAGTTACGTGTTCCCAGGAAGCAATGTTTTTGCCTGTAAGAATTGCCTTAACAATTTTCCTGAGCTGTCCACTGAATATGCCTTTCTTAAGTGCTAGTGACGGCAGCTACAGGCGGTCCGGAGCAGTGATAGCAGGAGTGGCTGCGGGAGCAGCAGTGATAGCAGTGGGTCCCCTGTGCCCGGCATCTCCGAGGCAGCCCACTGTGCTGCCCGGAACCTCACGTGACTAGGCAGGACCTGCTCCCAGGCTCGGAGCCTCACCTGCTCCAAGACCCTAACCCCACGTTGCCATTCTCGCCCATGGCCGCTGCAGGTAGGGCACTGGGAGGGGGTAAACAGTCCCCAGAGCCCATCTCTGGGACTCCCCCAGTGCCCACCACCCTGGGAGCTGCCGCAACGGGGCTGGGCTGAGTTGCCCACGGGTGAGGCAGCAGCGTGGTCGGGCACGGCGTTGGCGGGGTGGGCAGAGAGGAGCCGAAGGTGGAGCTGGGCCCCTGCAGATGAAGAGGTGACTAAGAGACCATGGGACTACCTGCTTGCATAGAGGAGCTAGACCATTCTAGCGCCTACTCTCTGCTGAAAGCTGAACACAGTGGGACAACCTGCCTGCAGAGAGGAGTTTCTAACTCCAGGGCTTCCTGTCTGTTAGGAGCTGAACACTTGTTGGGACACCCTGGCTATGAAGAGGAGCTGCCCACTGTGGGTGTCCTGTGAGCTGTTCTGTATTCAATAAACTTCCTCTTCTTCTTGCTTCCAAGTAGATGAAATTACAGGCACCTGCCACCATGCCTGACTAATTTTTTTTGTATTTTTAGTAGAGATGGGGCTTCACCATATTGGCCAGGCTCGTCTTGAACTCCCGACCTCAGGTGATCTGTCCACCCCGGCCTCCCAAAGTGCTGGAATTACAGGCATGAGCCACTGCACCTGGCCTCAGGTAACTCTCAAATCAGGTTCTCCATTAGTATATCCTGACTTTTAATTTAGTACAATTATTAAAATAGCTGAAGTTCAGAAGCCGAGCCTATAAAAACCACAAAGGTTAGGTGGCTAATGAACAATTTATGCTTTACTTCTGGTTTCAGATAGCTCGGGCTTTTACATTCCTGACAAATTATTTATTGGAAATTACACAGAACATATCATGTAAGTTATCATAATGTCCATTGTTTCACAACTTCTATTCATTTGCTTCCCTATCTAACACAGAAGATGGATTAAGCATTTGTCAGGTTCCTCCCTCCTGGCTGGGAGAGGTCCTCAGCTTTATTCCCTAAGTAGCTGACTCGTCTCATCAGCAAACATCTGCCCATTCCATTACCTCACATTTCACTTCCTGATCTGATTTCCTCTTGAAGAGTCAGCTAGACCTATACCAGGGCAGAGTGTTCTGTTTCGTGTCTGATAAAAATCGCTTGCCCCAACTCTTTTTTTAACTCTCTTAGGTCTGGCATCCATTGAAATTTGAAGGGGAAATCTGTACTTGTCTGTTGGAAGAAGATGCTGTGAAAACAGCTTAATGTATGAGGGTAAACAAGTTTCTTTCTAGCTGGATGCCTCAGAATTTTTAACATGATACTATAAGGATGAATTTCCAAGAAAGGAATATCATAGACAGAATTTTTAAGATATGTTTGACTATAGAAACCTTTTTTAATTAGAGCCTTTAAAGAAATCAGATTTCTAAATTTGAACCTTAGCTCCTTGTAATTACTGAATTCCTCAACTCTTTGCACGAATTTCACTTCTATAAAGGTGAACTTGCATTCTTCACTGGAATATAAAAAGAAATTCGTTACTTCAGGTAAAGGCCATAGGGATAGACTTGGATAAAGTTTCTTTCTCCTTAATTTAGAGACATGACAATGGTATAATGAGTTAAGGGTGAACAACAACAAAAAAAGAAAAGTGGAATAATATATACATAGTTTCAGTGATGTTTTTGTAGACTGATTTTTAATGCATTAATAGTAAAATGACTCTAACAGCTTCAAAGTTGGCTTGCCATTTTCCTAAATGCCTATAGGAAAAAAAGCTAACAAAACTTTTCTATCATCATATATGGAAACTATCAATAAAATAAGGCAACAAATGAACTTATGTTTTAGGAAGCTCCCACCCAGAAAAACAATTATTGCTAAACCCTTAGTATTTTCACTTGCTTAGTCACGGAGGCAGTGGCTGGGTGAGATTAACCCTCTGTTCGTTGTAAATGTTTGCCTTTATTTTGGGATGAGTACCAATCAATTACTGTTGGGAAAACCACTGGATGACTAACCTCAGACATACTTACATCGGAGACTAATAAACCTTGAAATGTCACTTCTTTAACTTGAATTTTTTCATCTGAATTCTAGCTATTATTTGGAATGGAAATAATGTCAAATAAGTTTGAGATTAGTCAAAACATGGACCTAATAGAGAACTTCATATCACATAGAAGGGGACATCTTTACCATTAACATGAACTGATGAGACATTTATCGGCAAGGCTCTTAAATTCCTTATCTTCTGGTTTAAGATGCTTTGGATTTTATTCTCTTTTACTGCTCTTTGCTCAGTAGAAGGAAACTGGAACACCATAATGATATCTGCTTTCACACCATCTTTCTCTGGACTATGACACACAAAAGAAAGGTACATTTTCAAGGAAAACATCTGCAATTGTCCTTCAGTCTTTGCTGTATCTTCCTTCCCTGAATGATGCCTCAGTTTCTGACAGTGTCAAGTGCTGATCCTCTTATGTCATTCTGACCCATGGTCATTTCATATGTTCGATCTTCTAGCTCTTGAATCACCTCTACAGGGTCCATGACATTTGACCCTCTAATGACAGTGCAGTAATTAAAAAGATAGTAAGTTTAATTTTCTAAAGATCCTTGTTTCTCTTTGGTCAGCTCTGTTTTTAAGAGTTCGTCATTTTGAGTTAAAATATGTCTCCCTTTATCTCCCATTCCATAAGGCTTAGGTATACCAGTTGGAACATGCATAAAATAATTTCCTCTTCTACCCCAAATATTTGAAGACAACAATATTGTGGTCCCTGAGTCTTCTCCAAATTAAACATGCCTAGTTTCTTCAACTTTTATAAACAGATTCAAGTTCTGTTACCTGAGGAACTGAACCTTTAAATACTCTTAAAATAGGAAAACCAACTACAGATTTAAAACAACAACAACTGAAACTGATACATATTAATCTGTTATCTCTCCTATACTTTTTTTTGTGCAAAAAAATAAAAAGATGTAAAAAACACTAGAGGACCATCTTCCTGAATCTTTTGGCTGAACTTTTAAATACTCTTAAAACAGGAAAACCAAATACAGTTTAAAAAAAAAAAAAAACCTGAAACTAATACATATTGATCTGTTATCTCTCCTATTTTTTTTAAGCTGTAAAAACCACTAGAGGCCCATCTTCCTGAATCTTTTGGCTAAAAGGAAGAAATTATTTCAATTCTGAGACAATTTATGTATTTTCGTTCAGTTAAGCTCTGGAATATAAAGATCTAAATAACTCGAATTTTATGTCGAATTGTCAAAAAGGTGACTGAGTAATTCTACTTCTTAAATCTGAGGAATTAACATTTTTACCAAGTGTTATATAGTGATGATGGCTGCCATCCCAAGGAGTTCCTAAGAGTATGATAATGTTGTTATCATAATATAGCAAATCAGAATTTGAAAACAGAAAAAATGAAATCCAGAAAGTTCTAGAATTTATGTGCTTTTTATCTCCTAAGTATTGTAGAAATTACCCAATTCATGTTATAAAATCCTAATGACATGAGGCATGCCTTAGTTGATGGGGTTTGAGTCCTGGTTCTGTCACTTCTCAGTAAAGACAAATAACTTGGAGTACATCTGCCAACAAAGCATTATTATTCTATTGGTAAGAAAGTGATTATTATTTTCTTTAAATAAATCAAACTCTGAATATATTATTTTTCTTTATCTTTAAGAAATATGAGTCATACAGGCTCATGGATTGGTGTGTATGATGTATATGTTCTGCTGTGTAATTTTCAAAATAGCACGTTTGAAACTTCCGAGCAACGCTGCAACTGATATGTCTTTCCCCCTCCACCACAACAAAAAGAAAATTTACTACAACACGAATATCTTTTCGTTTAGGCATGCCTCATGTCATTAGGCTTCATTACAGGTAAAATTTGTGATCCCATTTTGTAACCCACTTTGCCTTCTTAACATGTTTGAAATGACATAATTGTCAAAAGAATACAGTTTGGTGCATGCAATGACAAGCTACTGGGTTTTCCCAAGGCCACGAGTTCTGGTAGGTTCCAGGCCTTACAATAAATTGATGGAGTTTGAGTCCTGGTTCTGTCACTTGGGAAACTGTCAGTTGGGGAAGTTTGAACACCTTACTTACCCTCCCTGAATCTTAGTCTTTTTGTTGACAAAATGGTGGTCAGCCCTATATTTCAAGACTGCTTTAAAGATCATGTTTATGAAAAATTCTAGCCAAAAGCCTAGTCCATAGACACACACAATACATGAGGGTCCCTGTCTCCTGTGTTCTTTTTTCTTCCAGTCTTGTGATTCCACCTTTGCCCAAACATACATACGTCAGTCTGACTACTTGGTTCTTGATATAGTGCTTCTTCAAGGCAGAATTTATAAATATCTCATCCACCTGTTATACAACAAGAGAGAAACTATGTATTAATAATATCTTTTATAATAAGAATATGTCCTTGATTAAATGTTAAAGCAATAGAAATTTTTTCACAGGACTAATATGATTTAAATTGGTGGTTCTCAGCTTTCACAGTGCAACAGAATCATTTGCTGAATTAAAAAAATTATGGATGCCAGAGGGTGTCTTCAAGAATTTTGATTTTGATTGGTCTAGAGGGGATCTAGACACTCATATTTTAAAAAAATCTACCCCAATAATTCTACTATGCTATGATAGGTCTCTGGAGTAGAAGACATCTTGCCAAAACCATAGAAGGAGTAGCAGAGAGATACAGAGCAGAGATGGATATTCAGGGAGGCTTTGAGTGGTGACAGAGAAAACGCCGTCTCAGTCCTGGATATAAGCCCATGCTACTGCTCACAAATTGGCAAGCTTGGCAAAGTTACTGAATCAATTTTAGCCTCAGTTTTCTAACCTGTAAAACAAAGATATTGATCTGTTACTCATAAGGCTATGAAGCTTAAACACATATAAAATACTGGGTAAGTTTTGGCAGTTAATTGCTGATGGTTCTCTAGCCTCCATCCTGGCGTTATAGGTCTTAACTCTTCAGGTCTTTGCTTGTAAGGTATAAGGAGGAGGCACTAGGGATTTGGGAGAGAGCCAGAGATTTTTAAATTGCTGTCGATTGTGAACTGTAGGGTAAATCAGGGAGGAAAAAAGAATTAGGTGGTGTTGCAGTATTAGGTCAAATTTGTTACTCAGTTTAGGTCACAAAGGTAGGAGAAGCAGAGCCACTGCTTTTGGTCCATATGCACAGTTTTCATCAACTGCCACAGTACTGTGATGCTGTGGTCTATCACACCTAGCATTTGGCTTGCAGTATCCCCTAGCACTCGCTTGGCAGAAATAGTGTCATCTCAGTGTAGGCAAGGTACTGCAGTTCATGTTGAACAGATAAACCAAATGTGCACAAAAAATATCCCAAATCCTCAAGGAATGAGAAGAAAAACCAGCTGTCATTACTAAAACACATACATACAAATATAGGGAAAGCTGTTTCAAGGATCAAGGAGCATGTTTATAACTTCCTTAGCATGCTCAGGAATTCATAAATGCTTCATCAGGAAGCACATTATTTGTTATCTTCCTTAACTCTTATGGAAAATCTGTGAAATAAGAAGTATTTTCATTCCTATTAGAAGAGAAACCTGTGACTCAGAGGCATTTGTGAATTTCCCTGGCATCATGCAGATACTAGCAAGCTGGGACTGAAACCCAACTCTTCTATCTGTAGGATCTGCCTCTTCCCACTCAATCACACTGCCACCATGTGTGATTGATAAATGTCATGTAAATTTTACTTCAATTTCTTTCACAGAACACATAGTAATAGGTTATCAAATAATTTATTGGCCTAATGTATAAAACTTATAAAGATAGAGACTTGGTAATAGCCTTAAACTTAAGATCAAAGATAGCATTTAGAAAATAAATTGCTAGTATCCAAAATATGTCCTTATTGGTGCTTAAATAAAGAAAGCCTAAATGGACTGAGGTGGTGTGGAGTTTATATGCTAGAAATGAAACTCATTTGGAAGACATGTTTTCAAAAGGGTGACTTTATTATAATCATTTCTCTTTCGTCACCCACAGCCAGCTTTACCACTCAGTATGGAGGCGGGGGGGTCCCCAAAAAAAAAAAAAAGAGGCAAACAAAATGGAACAGGGAGAGAAGTGATACATTTTAGAAGGAAGAAAAGTACATAGCAGTAGGATATTTAAAGAAGTTTGGTTTGTAATTACCCTCTAAATAAGTTCAACCACAATTGATTCCTGGCCATTTGTAACTTGGTGAAGGCATTGCATTAAGTTTTTGACTCTAGGTGACATCATCAATCTGTTAAGGTGCTTGCTATGAACATCTAAACCAAGCATCAGTTTTATCTTTGAATGAGTAGGTTGTCTGGGAAGATAGGAGCTGAAAAAATAACAAGAAGAATCTAGGCAGAAGTAACCTTGGTGATTACAATAATAAAAAGGATCCTTCTTTGTAAAATTCTAGGACCCTCTCTATAAAAAAGTCTTGTTTACTAGATCAGAGGAGGCCTCGGAATCTTATAGGTGATACAGGTAGTCTGAGGACAACACTTTGAGAAATGGGATAGAGGGACTGGTAAAAGGAGTTTCTATAAAATGAATTTACAACAGGTGGAAAATCAGAGAAAAGATGAACATAAGCTTTATTGCTGAATGGGTCTTATATATAAAGTAGTTTTCTAAAGACCCTGAAATACTTTCCCTGACAGATGATGGCTTACATCATTAGAAAAATTATTTCTGCCAACATTCTGGCATTCCAAGTTCCCAGAAGATTCAGAGGAACTTATATTTTTAAAGCTGTGTGCCAGCTTGTTATAGATCTATTATTATCTATACATCCTAATAGAGTTAGCAATTTGTAAATCTATCCTACCTCCCTCTTTAGGGCATTTGTAGAATTTTGTAGTTGGAGGTAGTCTCCTAGCATTGAACAAAAGACCCTGTTCCAGGGCAGGATCTCTTTCTGCTTGATGATTTTGAAATGCTGTAAATTACACTGCGATTAATTTCTAAGAGGGCAATTGAAGGTTAGTTGGGTGTTTAATAGAAGAGTTAGGGAGAGGCTGTCAACTCAAACAAACAGACTCGCCCAGCCGTTCAGCTCTCATTCCTGAATTAACTCTGTTTATACATGTTGCCTGCTTTTCTCTGCAGATGCTTCCTGACCGGCTCCCCTTACAGCAATCTATGTATTCACTTAGGGAGTGTTTTGTGGCTAACACTACAAACCTCAGATTGATATGCCACCGATGACTGGTATATAGAATATAAATAATATATAAAAGCTGTTTTTCCCCAACACAACACCAGGTGAACTGCTTAGAATGAAAAAAACCAAAACCATGCTGTGAAAAAACTAGATGTTTTTGCTTTTTCCTAATTAAAATAAGAGTAACATGCAAAGGATATTATATAAGAGGGCTTTTTAAAAGACACTTTTAGCAGTAAATAAAGCTTCACTGAAGTTTTATTGCTACAAGGATTGAACTCAAGGTAAAAACAGAAAATGGGAGCCTTTGAGCCTCTGTTCATAATGTTGGACATTCAAGGACTCTCCCTCTGTGACCAACCGCGAGCCCAGTCCTTCTTCAACACCACCAGTACTTTCAGGCAAGTCCCTCATTTTCCTGCATATTTGCCCCTCTCAGGCTGTTTCTTTGGTCTGTGGCACCCTTCTCATACTGTGTTCCTGAATCACAAGAATCCTTCAAGGCCAATCTCAGATAATACCTTCTTTGGGGATATTCTTTAATCTCAAACTAATCTATCTTCCTTCTGTCTCAATTTTTCTTATCCCTCTTACACCTTCTGTTCTTTAATGTAGTTATTTACACAAATATAGTGTCTCTTTTATTAAATGGCAAACTCTTTATGCGTAGAGATGGTGACTTATCTTTTAATACGCTATAAAATCTAGCAAAGTGCTTTGCATACCGTTGGTATGCAGTATTTGTTGAATAAACCAATGAATAAAAAGGTGAGAATTTGTTTATCAGAAAGTTTCACATTTACCAGGAAAATTTTACAAGACTTTTTAAAGTGCTTGCATTACATCAGGTTGAGATCAATCCTCCTAGAGAAGAAAGATCAATTGCACATGAGTTATTGGAAGGAATTTTTTTTCCTGTTTGTGAACATTTTCAGGTAATTGGTTATTTGTGAAAAGCTCCTCCTTGGTAAGTCTATGATAATTATAATAGTAGGAATCACTGTTGTCTGCCATATATGCACCAAGCACAGATGTCATTGTGTTTGAACTCAATTGCTTTCAAATCAACCCTCTAAGGTGAGTACTATGATCATCCACATTTCATAGAAGAGGAAGTGACTTTCCCAAGTTGACACAGCAGTGAGCCACAGAGCTCACTGAAACCAGAGCCATGTTAATGTCTTCACAGTGCCTACCTCAAGATGAGCATGCAGGTAGGTTCTCACTAAGGCCTCCTATCCACTGATGGGCAGCAAGCAGTTTGTAAGCAGATCAGAAACTGTTGCACCCCTTTCTAAAGGCAGCCTGTTTTCTTTGCTCTCCAAAAATAAGAACCATAATCTTGGTAGTTTTTATTGCAATCCCTTAATATTCTTATCATGTCTATATAAAACTCGAGGATTATTTTGATTCAAGAAGTCAGCTGTGAACCATTCTCTCAAGCCTGGATAGACCTTAGTCAACCTGAGTACTGAGTGATGCTCATAGAATTTTGAGGCTTGTTGGCCTTCTTGGGGTCAGGTTTAACTGCAACATAACTTTAAGTGCTGTGTCTATTGGTGAAAACAGTTGGATCCATTGTCATACAAGGTGTATGGGCGTGGAGGGTGACATGAGACTGTGACTTTCCGATCACTCTAAACAAAGATGTAATCAGATCATCAAATGGGATGTGGTATTTTGTGATGTCATCAGTCATTTCTTTGATTGCACTGGTCCTTCTTTAGTGTTTCTTTGTGGAATGTCAGAAGGAAATGTACAGACAACAGTGACTAATCACATGTAATAAGTAGCACTACGTTAGATATCTGTATTCCAAATTTGTTTATATTTCTGATATTAAGAGGCAAAATATTTATAGAATTTAAAAGTTTGCAATTAAAGATTTTAAAGAATAAAGTATGAATTTTCAGTGTACCACCAAAGCCTAGATCTTTGAATTGCTTTTTTAAAGGAGGAAAATATCTAATTTTGATCTATTTAAAGTTGTACTAAAGATATTTAAAACCAGAATACCCAAAACAAGGGAAGGTCATTATTTAGAAGATTCATGTCTTCTCCAGGTTTGTTGTCTTCTAAATCTCTAAATTTGATTAGTTTATGAGAGAGAGAGAGAGAGAGAAAGTGAAAGAGAGAGAGAGAGAGAGAGAGAGAAAGAATCATTTTTCTTAGACTTTTATAG